CTTCTTCTTCTTCTTCTTCTTCTTCTTCTTCTTCTTCTTCTTCTTCTCTTCTCTTCTCTTTGTGTTCTGCAAAGTTAGAAACTTAGCCTTGGGTATCTTAGGGAACCCTCACTGTAGCCCTTGAGACCCAAACTTTGGGATTGATCACTGACCCTACTGCCTCTCCCCAGAAAAACCGAAGGTGTATCAAGGCGTCCGCGTGAAGATGACAGTCAAAGAACTACTGCAGCAGAGAAGGGCGCTCCAAGCTGCCTCAGGGACAACTGTAAGCAGACCCGCCCGACCCCCTCCCTCCCTAGTCCGTGGTTGGCCTTAGTCAGCCCTGTGTCAGGGAAGATGTGAAGGTCACCCACAAGCACAGCCCTGCTCGGGCAGGAAGTCCTACCACCTCTGTTCCCAGCTTCATTCCAGGTCACCTCAAGTAGCCACAAAAACAGGAGGGTGGTGTAGGGTTCAGGATTGCGGGAGGCTCATCCCTCACCTCTCATAACTGAGTGGGGAAGGCTTGTTGGTCCTCCCCAACGGAGAGGGCAGCCAGCAGGCAAGTATGTTACCACAGTGTTAAGAGAGATACAGGCCCCGGAAATTCATAGGAAAAAAATCTCTCCCAGAAACCTACCCAGTTTCTCTGTAATTTAGGCCCTAATGTCATTTGTGCGGGGGAGAGGGGGGGAGGTAATCAGGTCACTGGAAGTCTCCAGAAGCAAAGGCTCTGTCTCTGGGGTGCACAGTGCTGTTACAGAACTGAACCGGGCAGTCACAGGGCACCCTGACACTTCATATAGATGACCTGAGTGCTCAGGGCAGCTGCAGGACTGTATAAACTAGGTGTGGTTGGCCACCAAGGAGGATTCAATTTGAAGAACCTTCAGCACGTGACACTGTTATTGCTCGTGGGTAGATGTGGGTGTGGAAGAAGGATCAAATGGGATGCCAGACACATGTTTTATCACGGATCCCGTCAACATGTGGCACTGTTTTCGTTCCGCGTAGGACTTCATGAATGGGACTTTGGCACCTCAAGCAATGGCGGGTGGTGGGCTTTGGAGGGATGGGGATTGCGCTTGGTTCTCAGGAACTCTGTGTTTCACTTCCACCAACACATCCACTTACTCGGGTCTCTTTCGTCTGTCCCCCTCATCTTTCAGTTGAAAGCTAATGGGGTGGAACAGAGGTTAACTGAGTACACAACAGTATTCTCCACAGAGAGTGCTCAGCAGATAGAATTTGGGAAAGATCACTATAATTAATTCCAACTGAGATTGGATAGACAGTTGATGCAAATGTGTACTGTACCTTTTGCTAGGAATTTAGAGTTCAAATATATTTGTTTTGATTTGGTACATTCAGCTAGAGAAATTCTAGTTATCTGCATTTGCAGAACTTCAGGGGTTTGCAATGATTCTTTGGTTAAAGCACTTGTATATTCATTATTTCATTCGGTTGTAATGATCAGTTGGCATGCATAGATCAGAAATCGCTATTCCTCCATGATAGCTAAGATCCAAAGTCTTGAAGTTGGTACCAGGCTAAAGGCAAAAACGCAATCATCTTAGTTTTCAGTGTTGGCACTCATCTTTCTGCAGAGCCAATCATACTGAGCAGGGTTTTAATAACCTCAATGGTTTGCAGCTCTGCCATTAATAAAACTAGGGCGAAGGGAGCTGGGAAAAGTTTTTACAGACAAAAACCAGTCGACAGAGGTGCTTACAATAAAACATAATCCTTCAGCAAGGAGCACTGGAACCTGGCAGAACTCTCTTCAGCTATATCCAGAGCATCCCATTTAGCCAAAGCAATACTGTGGCTATTGATTGAGTTCTTAGAATTGGTGTGACCATTAGTGTCTTGTAGCAGAGTGCAGGACAAGAGGAAACATTTGCCTCAGTGTCTGACCAGGTTCTGGTCCTGCCACTGAATCTGATTTGACACTTTCTGAGGGCCCTCTGAGAATGAAGCAGGGTTTCCGATCCCGTTGTCTATCAAGAACACATGCTGCTTGCTGGAAAACTCCCTACTCTACTTCCTAGAAAGTTCCCACCCCTGCTCTTTTCAGCGCTCAGGAGCCCGTGAATTGCAGCAGGGGACTCAGCTAGACTTAGCTGTCTGTCTGAGAGCAAGCCGGGGAGCCTGCAATTCTGAGACTGCTGCAATGGTATACTCAGCCAGCAAGCGTGCTAGTACCATCCCAGACAGGCAATGTCCGCCTGTCCTGTGCAGCCCGTCCTAGCTTAACAGAGACTGTATCCCACCTTGCCCAAGGTTAAAAAGACATCTCTGGGAGTTAGTAATCCAAGAGAGAAATAATTGTGCTAAATACTGCAAACCAAGAATAAATCTGCCTGACTTTGCTGTACAGTCAGAACAGTATTAGTTGGAAATTTTAAGAAACCAATCATGCCTGGTAGTTATAGACTGAGGTAGATATCCAGGTCTCAAGCTGTACCAGAAGAAACTATACGTGCCAGACTGGTAAATGAAATTTTAAAAACGTAATTTCAGCCATATCAATTTACACATACACACTACTTCTTTCCCTTTAAGGTAAAGAGAAACTTGAGTTAGTTCTTACATAAAGATAAAATTTACCTTTCTTCTTTTTAACCATTGGTTTTGTTTTGTTTTAATAGGCTTGATGTGTTTTTATATATTGTAGATTGTAGATATGTGTGCTGTTTGAAATAAGAGAAGTGTCATTCTTTGTAGTCTTGAAAGCAAAAAGTGAACCAAGGGCTAGGAAGATAATATCAAATACGATATTGTAAACGTACCTCCGGGAGATAACAGGGAATCAAGCAAACAGGCCAATCCAGGGGACGCAGGGGGTTAAAAGCAAACTCTACAATGAAGCAGATTTTTTAAAACCCACTCCTTCCAAGTCCTTCAGCTCAAGCTGCAGCCAAATATTTGCATAAAGAGCTGGTAAAGGCCTCCAGCTTCCTGGTTCATGACATTACAGCATGGATCATTTTCAAAATTAACACACCTCCTGTTTGAGCAGTGGCTGGCCTGTGCAGTGCTTGCGGAGGCTCATGGAACAGGAGTGAGTACCCCCCCAAGCCCCGGGGAGGTGTGGTGAGCGGTGAGCTCTGCTTCCTAGCCCAGAGCAACAGCGCTGGTCCCTTTAAACTTTAAAGCCACCACCTGAAATCTAAAAGAAAAAAAAAAATCCTGAATTACTCAGTGCAATTGTTCTTTCAGCTGGGAAAGGCAAGCTGCTTAACTTAAGTATTTGAAAGGCTCAGCCTCATGCATTTCCAGTATTTAGATACAGTAATTTTAAAGGGGAAACTATATAGAAAATAGTTTTTGAAATATGCAAAGAACTGAATTTTTTCTGTCTATGAGCTCAAATGTTTATAGGCTCTGAACCACTAAATATTTCAAGGTTTTCTTTTTTTATATTTTAAAGGTCATAAATATTTTAGCTTCTCAGATTTAAGAACTCTAGAAACAGTGTCTTATTAGTATTCATTTCTTTAGGGAAAATAAATACCTAGGACAAAGAACCCTAACAGTAAATAGAAACTTTAAGAAAATGTATTGACTCAAGTCATAGTTGGGTTAAGTAAATGTTAACTCGTACTCATTATAAAATAAATTGCTTAATAGAAAGGCTGCTTACTGGGTTTTCTTGAATTGTTCTATTTCTGTAACAAAAAATGACTTACATTAACCTTTATCTAAATTAATAACTTCACATTTTATCAAGAAATCTGATGTTAGGGAAAAAAAAGCAATCCCCAATAAGCAAACATAAAATCAAATCTAAAATATAATGCTGGCTGTGTTTAAAGTCCAGTGTTCTTAGAAGAAGGCTTACCGCAGAGCAGAAAGAGCCGTCCCCATCAGAATCCCCTGCCCAGCTTCCCCAGTGGAGAAGTGCAGCGCCTCCCTTTGCTTCATGCTCCTCTTCTTGCCTTGACAGCTGTCAGGAAGCAGCAGCAGCCACCTCCCAGACCCCATCACGCCATCGCCTGCAGGTTAGTACAGCCAGCTTTGCAGTTTCCTCAACCCTCTCAAGAGTCCATCTCAGAAGCCGTTTAGAGCCTGGCTCAGGGGTTAAGAGAGGCACCACCATTTAATTGGAATCCAACCAATCAGAAAGTGACTCCAAATGCAAGCTCAGAAAGGAAAGAAAGACTAAGTTTTGTTCTCATTCTGAACTGTCTATTTTGTACCAAGACTTAGTCCTTTACATTTTATCCCAGTTGCTGGTCTCCAAGAAACTCAACTTCACTATAAAATTGGGGTTTGTTTGAGAATCTTGTTATCTTTCCTTTGTGCTGTATGAGTTATAATCAGAACATCCAGAATAATGCCTTTGCTCTTGCTCATTTAGCTTGTAACTGACAGGGGCTTCCTTCCACTTTGCTCTCTTCCCAGAAAGCAGTTCAAACAAGTGTAAGTTTTCCCAGCCCCAAACGAATAACTCTTATTACATAAGCAATCCTTCTGATGCCATTCAGCAGCTAAGAATTTAAGGAGGTCATATAGAAGGAAGCCTGTGCCCACGGCAGTTTCCACCAAGTGTGTCAATTTAACTTAACCTGCAAGGAACCTGAGACCTTTAATGGACTCCCTCTAAACCTCTCTTCTTTGAACCTTTAAGACTGGTAATCACACACTGGGAATGTTCATATTAACTGAAAAGGGCGTGATGTTTTTCAGATTATTCTCATTGATTCTCTGTCGCTTCTTTTCATTGTACTTTCATCTTAACATGTCCACAAATAAGACACTTTTTGCTCTTTGTACTTCTGTGCAAAGGGCTATTAATTCATACTCTACATTCTAGGCTTCCAATTTTAGCATGTGCATTACTATTTATGTCATGTCTCAAAACCCTCTTCTATTTAAGTTGCTACATGAAATGTTTGGAAAAGCAAACCACCAGAGCACCACACCAGAGCGTTTCCCAAAGCCCTGAAACAAGTCCATCAGAGAAGTTCCCCTGACCCGCAGATAGAGTTTAGTTGTTAACATTTTTATACTCCCAAAAGTGAAGGCTTGTGGTCTTCCCTGATTGTGACATTTAGATACTGACTGGGCCACTATGCAATCTTTTATTTTACCCTAACCGTATTGAGAGCTATCTATCATGTTACTGATCAGATTCATTTCTTTGGAACTTAGATTAACCTAAGACAACTAAAACAGTCCAAATTCCTACACTGTTTACTTAAAGGAAATTTCTCAACTGCCACTTTCCCCTAAATATAATAAATAGAAGAAAACTCTATTCAAATTTTTCTATTTTTGAAATTTTTGTCTCCTTTTCTCTTGTAGGACTGTATTTTGAGCCTGAACCAATGTCTTCCACACCCAGTTATTTTCAATCCCGAGAATTTTCCACCTGTGTCTCTTGTGAAGAAAGTCCAAGCTGCCTAGACCAGATCTGTGAGTCCTACCTTCAGACAGAGACACTCCCGGAGCCTCTGCTCAACTCCGCACAAAGTACTCCCCACCATTTCCCAGACAGCTGCCAAGTGGCCTCTTTCTGCTATAACCAGAGCCTGGTAATTCATCTGCCTCCTTCCTGTAGCCTGATGCTTGCTAAGCGTGGGGTAGAGATGCTTTGTAGCAGCGTTTGCATCATCTCGTGAGAAAGCATACAAATGTTATCAACCAGGAAATAGTCAGGGAAGCACTTAAAGTCCAGTGTGTGGGCACCTTGCAGGGCATAAACCTTTGAATACATGTATTATGATTTCCCGAGCAAATGGATGTCTGGCAGTAAAAAAGGTCCCCTCATTCTACTCACTTGATCTTTTCTTTTAACATCTGTTAAGACATCTGTTATTTGGAAATCACTGTTTAGATAATAGCTCTTAGATTTTTAAGTCCTTGGAAGAGATTGAGGCTATATTTCTAATGAGGCTTGGCTTAACTGCTGAATTGGCTCTACTAATTGGCTGGTTTGGTCTGCCACAGGCAAAAAGACTTACTGAAACCTGAGATGGTTGGTAAGACAGAAGTCCTGTGGTATATGCCTTTAACCCAGCACTTAGGAGGCACAGACAGGAGGGTTAGGAGTTCAAGGTCAGTCTCAGCTAAATATGGAGCTGAAGTACAAAAGACCTTCTCTCAAACAAAGACAAAAAAGTCCTAATCTTTGAAAGAATTTTGATTCTCTGTTCTTGATGGATCTCAGATGTTCAAAAATGTGTTCTGTTTAAGATGAGTAAGTGCTGTTTTTATATCTTAGATATTTGTAATTTTTTAAACTTTATAAGGTTTTTTTTCTTTTAAAAAGAAATGTGAATACTGTTCTCATTTGTCAAAAGCCTATGTAAGCAGAAGAGTGAATTTAGAGAAGAGAGGAAATTAGCCCTACAGAACATGTCCTTGTGTGTATATATAGAATAAATAGTTAGTATATTAAAATTCATAGTTTAGTGAGGAAAGAGCACACTGTTTCTGTTTTTGCTTCCAAGGTGGGCCACCGTAGATTTGTTGAAGATGTGGTAGGTGTCCGGTGGCTAGGGGGAAATGCGTTGGCGGCAGGAGGGGGAGTTTCTCATCTTAGAGTGTTCTAGACGCTGGGTGCTTGAGGACTAGGGTTCTAGCTCTGCATGTTTACTTGGCTTCTCGTGGTCAAGGGCGTGAGGTGCCACCTGCAGCTTATACTGTGGCATGCAGTGGGATTTGATGTGCAGGTGACCCGAGACAGAGTGAGATTTTGTGGTTTAAGAACAAAACATGCTGCAAAGTATGGTTTTAACAAAGGAAGGCAGTGAAGCAAGGCAATTGATTGTTGGGAAAGAGAAGGAAATATAGGATGTGGTGTCATGAAATCACAGTCAACAAATAAGAATACTTCCAAGGACTTAAGTGAGGGTTTGGGGCTTATTCTTAACCCTGATTTTCTCACTTTGCACAACTAAATCCACTTTTCTCAGTTCTTTTGATCCTGTCTAAGTTACCAAGCTTTTTGTTCCCTGGTTTTCATCTCTCTAGACTCCAGGATCGCCTTCGGATTCCTCCAGTCTCTCTGGCTCCTTTGACTGCAGCTACTTGCCAGATCAGCTGCCTTCCTACACTCCAGAAAATTACACCTCTCCGCCTCCTCTGGATTCCCTACACTACAGCCTCCCAGAAGAAGGCTACTCCTGCCACCACTGGCCTTCCCACCCCCAGTACAATCATTTCTCCCCAGCTACCCCTTCCATCTGCTACTGTGCAGCCTGCGAGGCAGACCATTTGAACGCCCTCAGAACCACAGAGTTCTTCTCCTACTCCAGCACAGACTGTGTGGACTTTGCCCCCTCGGCGGCTACCACTGGTGATTTCTATAAGGAAACAAGCTGTGATCCGTGCTACAGTTAGTAGAAACCACACTGGAAGGTGTCACGGGTGTATCTGTTTCTCTACCACATCTAGATGACACTTCAAAACATTCAACCCATTATTCACAAACTATCCCACATATGGTTTACGTGTCACTGTTTTCAATATCCTGATAACTAGCATAGGAATCATTATGAAGTCCTCAAACCTGGTCTTTTCACACTCTTATTTTATATGCTCACTGTTAACAATTTTCTATGGGGTTTTTCCCCCCTGGTGCCTTGCTTCTCAGTATAACGAACAAACTCTTTTGTAAACTAATAAATAAGTTTGTATAATATGTGTTGGGTTCTTTGAAATTTCCACTAGTAGTATCATTTGATTTCAATATTATTAACTAACCAGGAAATCACTAACTATACTAGAATAGTTCCATCTAAATTATTTGTGCATTTAAAATTACTCTAATATGATGAAATGCCCTGGGTGCCATAGAATAAAGGGATAGGCATTGCTAAGATGCAGAGAAAGGGAAACCCTGCTTTGGTTAATCAAGGATGTACATTTTGGAGCAACATCAAACAAAGACATGATGACTCACTGGTCTCTTGTATCCAGCATTAGTCAATGGAATGTTAATGTGACCAAAAGCACACACTCAACCTACAGCAATGTTAACCTTGAGACAACTCTTTTGCATTTCCAAAGTACTGTTTTATGTTCTTTCTCAGCAAATATTGATCTTCTTTCTCTTGACATCTGCCATATTCTAATCCTGTACCTAGTTCAGATTTGTGGTTATCTTCTCTTCCTGAATTTCTGCCTTAGATCCTTAACTAGATACCATGCATGCGTACACAGATTTATATGACTGTTGTGTACATCTGACTTTCAGTGTTTGAGTCATCCAATCAATCTACTAAGGAGCCCATCTGTCTTTCAAGGTCAAGGAAAGTAACTTATATGGAGTTAAACTGCACTAACCAAACTACATCAACTGTTTTCTAAAGGCATCTGGAGTCCAGAGTGTAATCACATGAGTGAAACCTGGGGCACATTTCCCACGTCCCACCATTCATGGTGCCATATTGGCACCACAGCTACAACCGTCTTCCCGTGTGGTATACTATGTGCAGGTTTCTCAGGCATTATCCCATTCACTCTTCACAACAACACTGAGAACAAAATCAGCAGTCTGGGCCTCATAACTGTTGTAAAATCATTATTATTTAATATTGATTCATATTTTTATTAAATGCAGTGGTTATTATTTGACTTGCTATTATAGAAACAAAAGACTCAGAAACCTGTTAAATTTTTTATATGCCCTAAATACTGGGACTGGGCAGATCTTAACCCCCTAAGCTACCTGGTTACCTCCCAGCCACACATCCTATCCAAAGTTGGCTGTACATGCTCCAATTGGGTTGCTTCTCCCCATCATGCCAACTCTCAGAGCAAGCTCCTCCTGGCCACGTTTCTTCTTCACAATAACTCATGGTGACCTGCTCCTTTCTCCTTCCTTCCTCCTCTCCTGCACCTTCTTCTCCCATGATCCTTCTGCCCTCCAAGCCCTTAGACCTTAGCTCCGCCTACCTCTCTTCTGCCTAGCTCAGGTATGGGCAATTTTATTGGCCAATCAGGGATAATTTGGGAGGCAAGGTTACAAAGCATCATTTGATGTATGTATGTGTTTGCTCATAGGACAGTAAAGATCTCTGGGGATGAGCAATCAACACTTGAATGCATAGTAGCTCCACGTCAGCCACAACATAGAACAGTTAAGTCAATGGCCCAGATCCTCCCAAATAGAACGTACCCAACCTTGAGTTTAAATGAACCCCAAACTCTGCTCCTTGCTCTTGAGTGGCAATAAGTTTGAGACACCTTTTGTGAAATACTGTTCAGTAGACCATGGAGTCGCTAAACCCCACAAGAGGTCTGTTGTCATCTTTATGAGGCCTCCCTGGAAGGATCCAACTGTCTACAAGATATCAGGGTGTGAACTGTAAGAACTGCTAAAGCCCCGGGGAAGCATAAGGACCTAGGAGAAGCTGACTCACTGCCACTCAGTGGCCTTCTCCTCATGAGAAGACAGACTTCCTCCCAGGACTTCACCATCTGTCCTCTCCCTGGGGACTTACCTAAAGCTTGGGAAAACAGGACAAGTTCTAGCCTGCCTCAAAGAATAGCGGTCCCATGGAAATGGAACAATGGCTGCCTTTCTGAGGTGCCAATATAATTAGACTTTTAATGGCTTAAAATTAAATTGATACTGGCTTGAAGTCAACAAATACTTGCTTAGACGATCCAAGGCCAGTTCATACTCTCCATCCCATCTCCAGTAGCTGTCCCCAGGAGAGATCAGAGGAACAAGCATTGCCCATCAGTTTGTGCTAATGTATCCCTCCCCTAGATTCCATTCCTCCTCCTGTCCCTGCTTCTCCTCTTTCCCCTTCCTCCTCTTCCTCTTCTTCCTCCTCCATTCTCCTCTTTTTCCATCAGTTTGATACCTTCTTAATCAATTCTCTTACATTTTTAACAAAGCATTTTTTCTGACATCCTTATTTTCTTGATTCTCTCTCTCTTTCTCTTTCTCTTTCTCTCTCCCTTTCTCTCTTTCTCAAGGAGGTACGCACACATGCACACTTCATTGTGTGTGGAGGCCAGCAATAGATATGGACAGACAGACAGACATACAGACAATCACTTCACCTTAAAATAATTTTCCAGAAATTTCGACTTTAAGACAGACCAAGTAGCCTATGACTAAGTGGATGGGTTCTGCCCACACATCTGCTGTAACTCACAGGGAAGCCCTGTAACTACTCATTGCCAGCAGCACAGAACAACCCAGGCCAGTGGTCCTCAGCCTGTGGGTCACAACCCCTTTCAGAGTCAAATATCAGATAGCCTGCATATCAGATATTTACGTTACAATTCGTGAAAGCATCAAAATTGCTGTTATGAAGTAGCAACAGAATAATTTTATGATTGGGGAACTAACTATGATTGGGGAGGGATCTATTACCATAATGCCAATTGCTGACTTGCTCTGCGTTCTTCCTGTGGACCGGGCGCTTCCTGTATCATCTCATTAACCCAAAAACAGCCACACGAGCATCAGATTACTATTGTCTCATTTTCATAAATGATGAAACTGGAGTGAAAGAGACGAAAGCCCTGGTCCCATGCCACCATGCCTCTAATAAGAGTGCTCACACAGGACGTATGAGGACATGATCCAAACTCCCAACCCTTCATCAGGACATGCCCCATATACCTAGAAAAACAGTCATTTTAGAACTTGACCTTTTACCATAAAGGCCATAGCTGTATCTTAGTTGGCTCTTCACACAACAGATACATTTAATAAAATTATAGTTGGAAACTTGAATGGATGAATCTGTAATTCTAGAACTATCTGAAACTATTAGCCAATGTAAACCAAAGGTCAAGTAGGGGCTTTCAAAGTGCAAAGGGAAGGATTTAAAAGGGACTCCGTTTTTAAAATTGAGGTCTCTGAGACATTCACTTTGGATGGGCACACACTTACTTCTGAGTCCTTAAGAATTATAAGTCAACCACAGAGGGATAAGATGAAACAGAGCGTGAGATAGTAAATGTTTGTAAACTATTACCTCACACAATAACGTAGAGCACAGACATCTGAGTGTCTAGTCTGAGCCTGCAGGTGAACATTTGGGAGCCCTTTGTAGATATACAAGAACAACTGAATGATGGAAAAGAGGCTGACTGTTGATACATGTATTTTTGTTATTAGCTTGTCCATCTTAAAAAAAAAGATTAATGTTTTAAAAAGTTAGGTTATGGTCAAAACCAATAACATTGTGAAAAGCCAAAATCAAAATAAACATGGTTTCAACATCATTTCCAAATTCTTGAACCTACATAATTAACCCCTAGTACAACATACTGGTTACGGTGCTCCGGAAAGTGACCCCACCCCATTGCCCCTTCCCTTACAAATAACAGTAGATGACCTGCTTGTGAAAAGGGCTTGATCAGTGAAGAATCTTAGAGCCTTAGAGCTAGGTTTTAATGTGGCCAGAGGATGCCATTAAGGACCATTTAGGATGCACTTTGAACACAGAGTAATTAATCTCTGTGCCTGTGCTCCCATAGGCCTTTGGCAATATGTAGGGACTAAAAGTATGAACAATTTTGAAGACAGTTTTGGTCGGAAATGAAGCATTAGACTCATTGCAAACAGGAATCTGTGCTCTCTAGGCCAGACGGCAAAGTTTGTCTTGCTTTATATAGATGAAGAATATCCTTCAGGGCTTTGGGAAACATGGATCTCCTCTCTCTCTCTCTCTCTCTCTCTCTCTCTCTCTCTCTCTTTCTCTTCCTCCCTCCCTCCCTCCCTCACTGAGAGTTTTGATTTCTTTACAAACCCAGTCACGTTATGTGAATGTGTTTTTATTTTAGTCCCAGGTGTGGGATAAGAGGCTGCTTCACAGCAGGTGATTATGATTTGCCTTGTGCACTAGCAGGGTCATGATCTTTGCCAGCTGCAGATAGTTTAATTCTGAGAAGGATGGAGAGAGGGTGTAAATATGAGCACCCTGAGCAGGTCTATGGAGGACCTGCTCTCCCTACTGCTGCCCCCTCTCTCCCCGCTGCTGCCCCCTGCCCCCCCCGGCTCCCCCAATTCCCCCGGCTCCCCCTGTTGCATTTGCTGGATTGCTGGTTTGCTGGACTGATGGATATTCTGACAATGAAGACTGGACTTGCCCCAAGGAAGCCAACATCCCTAATCATCAGATAGTAGCTTATAGAGGTCTATGTCCCCTTTTCCCTCTAACCTTCTTTTTCTCCTAGCTAGTGTTGGGAGATTGAAAGGGATTAGGGTAAAATAAGGGTTGGAAGAAAGATAGAAGTCTAAGAACCCAATAAAATAGCTTAAAAATACACCAATACTCTGTGTGTGTCTGTCTCTCTCTCCTATGTGTGTGCCATCAGCTTTCACCTGGACAATTAGTGGGGGCAAAAAGAGAAGACACATCTGCCCCCTA